TCCAAACACCTGGCTATCCCCAGGAAAAAAGGCAGGAATAAAGTTTAAATGGAATTGAGCAACTTTTTGTTTCATTTCCAAAATAAATAATTGCTTTAGAAGGAAACAGAGGTTGAGACCCCAGTTTGCAGTGGGTCAGCAGTGATGCACTGCTAGTCAGACCCTATTCCTGGGCTTAGCTTTAACCTTCATTTTCTGTCTTGCTCCTTACGGATGAAACCAGTGGATGTTGTAATCACCTGCAGCAGCAGGAATTCACATCCACTTTCAAAGCTGTCAGCTAAAGCCATTGAAAATCAGGGCTGAGAGAATATAGTCTGAGTAAAATATGCTGGTTTTGCATGCTAGAAGGTTTGTCTAATCACTCTGCTGTCTCACTGCCATTAACAAAGTGTTTAGGGGCTCTTTTCAGGAGAGAGAGCATCTTTTACCTCTTCATCCAAGAAAGACAATCCTCCCACAATAGGAATAAAAGGAAGGAAAATGAAACAGAAAGATGAAAAGCAGATCTCTGGCTGCTGGGAATGGAAAATAACGAGTCAAATCTGATGTTTACACTGCTCAGTAATAAGTGCAAAAGCAAAGGGGGATTGTCTCCAGAAAATGCTCTGTGTTTTCAGGGGTGTCCGAAGGAGCCAAAGGCTCCCCAGGCCCATTGTTATACCCAGTTTCTCCTTCTTCGCTCTCCTGAGTACTACTGGTGCATATCGCTCCTCAATCTGGTTATTATTGACTTTTATGGAAATCCTTTCTTCTGCAGCCTTGTGACCCAAATGGCAGCATAAGCAGTTTTAATTTTACTAGGCTCATACCCACCCTTGCAGCTCCCATAATCCCTACTTTGGGGCCCGCTGGAATAAACATTGCCTATGACCTGTCAGGTAGTGCATCATGTGAATATAAACAGCGCCTCGAGGTTTAACTTGGCAGTGCCAGCTACATCTACACTTGGCCCAGCTTTTGCCATCTCTCATATCAAATGGCACAGTGACTCTTGCTCCACTTTGGAAGAGATTCTCTTGTAATAGCATCAACTAAATAAGCGTATTAAACCCAGGAGCTTTGAATACACAAGAACTGTTTCTCCCAGAGTCAACATTAATGCAAATCCCTGATATGAACCCCATAACACTGTCATATATGTTAGCAGTACAGCTGGAGCATGCATTCCTTGGGCAGCATTGGAGACACACGGCTGCTGATGAGCTGAAATGCAGAAAAGGCTGAGAGATGTTGTTCAGATGGGTCTGTATGTACCCAAACAGCTCCTGCTGCTGCTCAGAGACTACAATGTGCTGTTCCCCAGCTGTATGTGTTATAGCTGCCCTTAAAATGCACAGAAAAAGAGACAAATTGGCCAAAACAATTTTAATTAAACTATCAAGGAAGGATAGATCTGAGCTTCTCTGAATGCCCCATCAACAGCTGAGGTGGTTTAAAGAGGGAGCAGCATCTCTCTTCTTCCTCTCCTGGACAGAAAGGAGGAGAGATGGAGGGATGTCCTTGCCAAGGGCCACCTTAAACCATGGGTCTGTGACTCAGCATGACCCTGGAGGGGATAGAAGAGCTAAAGTGAGGAGGAAAACACCAGCCAAGTGCTTTGTACTGCAGCAGATCCCCGAGGTCCTGCATGAGTCAGCAGCAGTGGCACATTACCCATCACTGTCCCGGTGCTTTGAGTCACACCAAGACTCAGATGGCCCCAGAGGAGGGACGAGGGCTGAAAAGCCTTCCCAAGCGTGGCTCCTATGCTCAGTCAAACCAGCCTCCGAGCACTTAGCATGGTATTTTTACACATGATATATTGCTCTGTGCTCATGTTAACCCAACATGAGGTTTTTGAGATGCTGGCCCTGGAGAAGGGCTGTCTCCCAGCCTCAGCTACAGGATACACACAAGGTAAAATGAAATACTCGGTGCAGCCTAATGCAATTTAACTTCCAGAATTGCTTCCACATCCAGTTTAGTCTGAAAATCAAGACTGGCAAGGTTTAAATCTTCTTTTGCACAATGAAAAGGATGTCACACAAAATGTATGTTTCCTTCTGCAGGACTTCCTGAGCAATAAACAAGAGCTCATCCGCCGCTGCTCCTCCTTCCCCCTCTCCCCATATTCCTTGGGATGTGGTTCAAATGGGAAGAGAATAAGGCCATTATAGGACAAAATAGAAGGCCACAGGATGCAATAATTCAGGTTTTAATACACATTTACAGTGGGAGTTTGATTTAGAAGGGGAATGAAGATACAGCTCGTATTAGACTAAAGCTAACACATTCCTGTGTTTCATATCCATCCCTGGGGAGGGGAAAAAACACAGGGCAGGATTGCCACCTTAAATCTTCTTGATCTCTTGTATGATAAAATTGAAACATACAGATTAAGGGTGACAAATACAGATCAGGGTCTCCTAATCTGTGCAGCAGAGGCTGGTGGCACAGAATCGCACAGCGTGCTACCCAGCTGGGATTGCCAAATCAGACTGTAAGTGTCTCTGATGCACTTAGCAATGTGTTTAATAGAGTTTTAATTGCAGAGTGATTGCATGTGATATTACAGAATTACCACAGATTACTTAATTGACTATTTGTTTGCTGAGGTTAAGCAGATATTTCTCCAAATATGTGTTTTTTCTGCTATAGATCCTTGCCTCTATATTACTTAGCACAGTATTGTCTGAGCCACAGAAGCAGAGATCCTTTACCAGGAGAAACCCACTTCCATTTAATGCCTTGGTAAATTTAACAGGCAGATGTGTGAGACTTAAAACTGGCTGTAGAAAGAATCCAAATCCTGCTGTTCCTAAAGAGCTACATGCAGGGGAAGCAGCTGGGAAGTGCTAGTGAATGTAGGTCTCTGCAAAAATTATGATGTGAGCAAATGAACCTGTGTTGGGAGCCCTTTGGGAAGCTGCTTTCACAGCCTGAAAATCCAGCTAATCCTGTACAGGTTCTGGGAAAGCAGATGGATGGAGCTGTGATGCTGGCTCGCTCCTGTTGGCCTAAGGCTGATGGGTGGAGGGGAAGAGGCTGGACCATCACTTCTCCTGTGTCCCCTGACAGGGCTCTCCTGGAGGGTCATGGGTGGACTGCTCCATCCTGGGCAAACCAAAGGACCATCCAACAAAGAACTTAGCTCCTGGAGGTGGTCAAAAGCAGATGCTCAGAAACATGGAAGAGCAGGGCAGGCATCCAGCTCTGAGCTTCCCAGTGGACATCCCCACTTTTCCCACATTATGTGTCATCCAGGGGCTCTCCCCATCAATGTCCCATCAACATTCCTCAGGGCAGGATCAGATGCAGGTCAACTTCATTCTCCTGACAGCGTCTGAAAAGCTGCAGGCTGTCTAGTGATGAATTGCATCTGTGATCACAGTGACCATATAGCAGCCAGAAATATTCAGATTGAAATAATGAATTCACTTGGAAAAGAGAATAAAACCAGACCCTCTAGCCTTCCTTCCAAAACAAGTCCCTTCAGTTGCCTAAAACTTTATTGAATAAATGGCTTTTGCAGCATTCCTGGAAGATGCTCAAATATCATGCAGGCTGATGCTAAAAGAACATAACCATCTCCTTTGTTAGTTATGAGAGACAGCACATGGAGTTGAAATAAGGCTGTAAGTACTGAGGAATTACTTAATTTCTGTACAAATTAGGCAGTGGCTATGTTAGTGATAACACCCATAGAAACAGGGCACAGATCCTTCCCTCCCCACTCCACTACTGAAGCCTCCCCTGTGCCTCTTGTCTGAGTAATGGTGATGGGGAGATGCAACCACAGCCAGACTTGCTCCTCCTGGACTGTGTTTTTAAAGGGAAACACATCTTTCTGCATGTCTCCTCTACGAGCTATGGCATAGTCCCTGTGGGATGACAGTGTCTGGGTCTGAGACATAGCCACATAAATGCTTTCAATCCCAAGGCAGAAGGAAAAGCAGCCTTTGCTTCCATGTGCCAAATCCGCATTGCACTGGTGGTGTGTAGCTCTGAAAGAGAGCTCTGCTGCTTCCTAGCCCCTTACAGGTCACATAGAGGACAAGAGTGATGTGGCCCTTATTCTCTGTACAGCAAATCTGGGATAAAGAATTAGCATAATTATTTCATTTAGCCTTGATTTTCTTCTTATCTTTTATTGTGTTATGTTTTAACTGAGATTTCTTTATTTCCTGCTAGGATTCTGCCGGAATCCTGTCATCTCATGCAGAGGTTGAAATGCATATTACAAAAGGAAACAAATCTTTCCCTTGATTGCCTGATCTGTCTAGTCTTTAATCTAGATTGACAAATGCACTCCATCCAACAGCACTTTTATCCTCCAGAGCTGTTGCATTTTATTTTCCATCATTTGATGTCCCTTGGCTAGAATTGGAAAGCAAGAAAACATATCATCTTTCTCTGGTTACCCTTTAATTTATCATTTTTATTATGGCAATGTCTAGAGCCAAACATCTTGTAATCAGTGTCTCAGGAATTGCACAAACGTGGAACAAAAGGACGAGCCCTGACACCAGAAAGCAGCTCCTGAGGCTGTTTAATGATCCCTAGCACCATAGGGACTGAGACCAGTGGCTCCACATAACAAACTAATGGGATTACAGTGTCCCTGACTCCCTGTCTACCTGGACGAAAAACATACACTAACGTCTCTCAAGTCGTTTGGACCAAATATGCAGTGCCACAAGGGCAAGAAACACAAGGACAGATGCAAACACAGTTTCATAATCCAAAGTCTGAGCTAGGCATCAGCAGTCCTTTACCTGTAACTTCTTCTATCATAATGTCATTTCCCCTGTGCTTTTTGTTATTTTCTCTTATCTCTGTTAACGTTTGTTTTTACAGACATTTGCAGGCTGGTTGTCCCTCAAGGTTATTAATTCTTTGCAGTAAAGGGGGGTTTAGATAAAACAGTTTATAGCAATAAGCAAAACACATACAGGTCTCTTTTTCACCCAGACAGAGAATTGCTAACAAAAACTAATGGGTTTTTTCATACCTTGCAGGTGCTGTGGTGATTGCCTTTGTGGTCTGTTGGCTCCCTTATCACATACGGCGTCTCATGTTTTGCTATGTCCCCTCCAGTCACTGGACAGAGTGAGTAACAACACAGGGGACAAGCTCCCACCATGCTGGGATGTGGTTTGGGGATGGGGCTGCAATGGTACCAGCAGACTTGGGGATGGAGATAGGGATCTGAGCATTCTCCATATGAGGGGTTAAAGCCTCAATCTCCTAAGTGTGGTTTGGTTTATTCTTTTGGGTTTCTTACCATTTTTACCAGCCAAATTAAGGGTTTTATCATCTAAATCCCCATATGTGGGTGAAGGAAACATTAGTTCAAACCAAAATGCATCGTCAGCCCCTCCTTCTTCTGTGGCTGTGACCACAGCCTCACCACTGTTAACAACAGCAACAGATAGCCACCTCTGACAGGCCTTGATGAAATGACATTTGGAAAGGGGGGTTTAGACATCTGAAGTGAAACGCTGTCTCTGTGGCAGAGTTATTGATCATCAACCCTGAAACAGAGCTGCTCCTGTCAACGCACGCTTTAGCTCCATGATGCCACATTTCCTTAGTGACAGGAGAGATTATCACATAGGTGGGGAAATAACTGCACTGCTCACTGAGTGTGGGGCACGTTATTCACTGGGTCTGGCAGGGAGTGGATCAAAATTAAATACTAGCAGTTGCACTGATTAGAAAATGTGCAGATTCTCAGAGAATTTAGGGATAACCGCACGCTTATGCTGAATGCACGTGCAGTGGTCACAGATGTGCAAGGGCACACAAGCAGCTCCATGCAGCCTTTCTGCTGTGTCAGGCCAGGTTCCTCAGCAAAGCAACCACAGAACTGATTATTCACTTTAAATCTGCAATTAAGTACTAATGGTCTCTGGGGATACATACCCCAGAGTATGGTACCCTGAGACAGTACAAGATGCACTGTCCTCCCATGGTGTTACATCCCTGTTCTCCCTGGGACCAGGACTGTTCCCTGCAATGAAAAGGGAACAGACAGGGAACAGGAAAAGAAAAGAATCCACAATACTGAAAGACAGAGGAGCTCTGAGACATTAAAATTTCATTAACTGCAAACATAAAAAAGAGTAATTTACAATACAGCAGTCTATTGAATGGAATTGTACATCCATCCGTAGTAAAAACCACAAACCTATCTTCAATCACGAAAACAGAGCTCTAGGCACATGCTGGGACAAACTGCTTTTTCTTGGTTGCTTTCCTATAGGAAAAGCACTTAAAGCAGCAATCAATTATGTGATGACTGCCTTCGCTTTGAGCAAGAGGGGTAGAGAAGTCTGTCCGCAGTTAGGGTGGATTTATGCATTGTGATTGCATTCCCAGGTTATTTGTTTCTGCTTTTAAAAGCCATGAGCGATCCTAGGGAAACATGGAATATTAGGAATGGCGAAGTATCGGTATGGTACCTAATCAAGAGCTTGCAGCATCTGGATGTGTTCATTTATAAATGCATTCTGCCCATGAAGATGATAGATTTTTGCTATATTAATTCTTCCCATCTTCATATAAAAACTGCTTGGAAGAACTGGATGGGTCATACAGTACTTGGCAGTGCTGAAGGGGTGTGGAGGGATCGGTGATATACTCCAGCACACGTCTATTTATCTTTTGTTAGGCAGCACTCAGCTAACAAAAAGGTCTGCAGTTTCCACTGAGGTGAATGATCCTGGGCAACATCTTCCTGCAAATGAGACCCATGTTGTTTATAACCGTTTCAGCTCCGAGCTGTTGATCTCAGTTGGCCCAAGGAGAGGTATTTCCAAAAGAAAAGAAAAATAGCGATGCATTTTCAACCAATTCTAGTTGAAAACATTATATTGCAATGGTCAGGGTATGTTTCAAGAGCATGCTATCATCAGCTTGCCCCCAGAATAGAAAATGCTATCCCAGATTGCATGCAGATCCCAACCCAAGGGCCCATTGAATGAGCTGATGCAGCTCTCACTGCTGGGAGGACACAGCTGCATCTGGATCTTGGCTCTTCTGTAGGCTTTGTACACTAAAACTGAAGCCAGAAAAGTCAAGCTAATGTATATGCATGACACAGAAACAGATTTCCATCCGGCTTCTCAGTTTCCAGAATCTATCTTTGATTTCAAAATGAATGCACAAGGTAAATACCACGTCTGGACCCAGCACATAAATATGTTTCTAACTGCTAGTGATTGGGGTAAGACTCTCTTTTGACCTACGTTTGGCCAGTCCAAGTGGAAAACATAGATGTTTTCCTTGTGGCTCATGTACCATTGGTAAGTTCATGTCTCCAGCCAAGAAGGATTAGCTGAAAAAGCAGCTCATGCTTTTCTCACCCTTGTGACTTTGAGTTGAGTTCTCCACACTCAGATTTTTCTCTTTCATCTGCTCTTCCAGCTCCCTTTTCAACTTCTACCACTACTTCTACATGCTGACAAATGTCCTCTTCTACATCAGTTCGGCAATCAACCCCATCCTCTACAACCTGGTGTCTGCAAACTTCCGACAGATCTTCCTGTCTACGCTCACGCTCCTGTGCCTGCCGTGGAGGAAGAAGAAGAAACGACTGGCCTTCACCAGGAAATCCAACAGCATCTCCAGCAACCACACATTTTCCAGCCAGGTCACAAGGGAAACTACATACTGAAGCCAAAGGACGAAGGGAAATGCATTTCATCGTGGAGTCAAAACTCGAGAGAGGCCTCTGTGACTTTCATGCATGGTCTCCAAATTCACGTGTAACACAAATGTGTTTAGCAAAGTCATTTTTGTTGGAAGAATAGGCTTCGTTCTGCCAGTAACTTTGAGGTTATTTTAAAGCATTGGCCTTGCCTCTTGTGAGTAATGTCTACACGTTTTGTAACTTCAGTCTGGCATAAATCAAGATGCAGTGTTAACTGGGAAGCCAAAATATGTTATACTTAGGCAAAAATCATACTGCATTCATCCTTGTCTCAATGCAGAGATGCCATGTTCACATCCAAGGGTTTGAGATCCCGTCTCTCAGTGGCACCGAGCAGAGAGTCTGATGAGGAGAAAGCAGTTTTGAACAGAAAAGGATGTTTTTGGAGAATGGACATGCTGTTCTATGGGATGTTCAATGGATGAGGAGTGAAAACTCAGGGAGCCAGGTGGTTACTTTAGGAATATATCTACTTTATGAATAATACGACCTAGGTGCTCAAAAGAGCCAATCTGGCTCCTTGGAATGAAATAACAACATATGATGCCTTACCTAGGTTGGGGTGGCTGTGACCTGGGGGAATGAGGGTCACCTTTCACTTTAGGGCATCTGTAGTGCCTGGCACAGTGAATCCCCTCTCCTGCTGGTATTGGTACTTCAACATCAATAAATAGCAAAGTCTCTGGCAAAGTCAAGAAGGCAGAAACTGTGCCCAGCTGGAGCACTGAAAATGAACAGAAATGGAAAATCTTCCTTTTTCCATATAGCCAAATACTGTTTTAAACCTGGGAGAACAGTTAGCTGGCCTGCATTAAGAGATTAAAAAATGTCAGGCTCTGTGGACCTTCAGGTTTTTCCCATTCTTATTCCAATTTTACTTGCTTCCTTACCATTTTCTCAAAGCTTGATGGCTCAGAGGTCACATCAGTTGTTAGAAGCAGGGCCTCTTGCTCTGCCTATTATTTCTTTCTGCTACCAGACCTGTTGTCACCCAGATCTGCACAAAAGAATCTTCAGGTATTGCAAATGGAGGACTCAAAAAGGTCTAAACTGGGGAGTCTTAGCTCTAAAATAACTTTCTTTTAACAGGCAAAAGGAGCAGAAACAAGACCTGAAAATTCTCCTTGACATTTCTCAGTTGGTCAGGATAGGTAGCATGAGCTTTTCCCCCATATGGTTCCACTTCTAACAGCCCACTGTGCGATGCACCAACTGCTCCAGAGTCTTTGGCAAAGGAAATCACAGGCTTCTGGGACAAGCTAAAGGGCTTTCCCTGCTGTCACATCACCAGATGGTGACTTACACGAACCTGGAACCAATCCATCATCCTCTGCAACCTCTGCTGTGATTTTATTGGTGGTGACCTTGCGTCCCCTTTCACACCACACTTTGTTAGGAGAGCAGGGCTTGCCTCTTTATGATGACAAATGATGAAAAGAGTCACTCAGCTCAATTCTGCTTTCTGGTCCCATGCCACTCCAGCTAACAAGCACCCTTGGTACTTAGCAGAAGTCTCAATGATGGAGATGTGGGTCTAGTCCCAGTGAACTCACACAGTGATCCACTTACTGATCCACTGGGTACCGGTGGCTTCTCCTGGTGTATATGTGCTATCATAGAATATCTCAGGTTGGAAGGGATTTATAAGGATCATCAAGCCCAACTCCCTGGACTAGTGGCTTAAGTCCTATTGGGCTTAGGACATAAAGAAAATGATTGTGGGGCATTTTCTGTGAGTCGTTAGAGAAAGCCATCTGCTTCTGAGGAATACATAACCTTGCAGTTGTAAAGGCTTAGCTACCATCATAGGCCTGGCTACCATCAGCCGTGGCCCCCAACCACACCACAGACTGGAGATTATTTTAACCTTTAGTACAGAACCACTCCCAAAGAAAGGGCTCAAAATAGAAGTCAGTGAGGCTTTAGTTTCAGTTTCTTCTGATTCAGCCAAACTGCAAGCTCTCTCCTGTCATGCCTTCTAATTCCTTGCCCTGGTTGTACCAAACAGGGGGCAGAGATTACAGCTGACAAAGCACTTTAGTTTCTCATGCACAGTTGACTCTTCTTAGGCATGGAAAACAGGTAGTGGCACACACGAAATAATAAAGAAATTAAAAAGCACAAAGGAGACTGGTCTCTTTGGAAGGAAATCTGAGAAATCAGCAAATGTCATCTGTCTGACTGTTTGAAATAGCTTCGGCAGGCTGGAGAAAGCTCTAGAATACTGATACGTAATGCCTTGTACAATGAGTAAAGGAAGAAGAGTCTTAATGTCACACACTTAACATTGGCACTTCCAGTGTTTCTGGAGAGCATCCACATATTTTAACTTCACCTCTAAAATGAGCCAGCAGCTGGGAGGTGGTTTTGGAAACCTCCCACAGAAGCTGTAACTGTTGCTTTGACTTCCCTTGGGATTTAACACCCTGCGTGTCTCAGTTCCTTTTGAAAGGTTAAACATTATTAATATACTCCTTCAACACCAACCAACCTGCTGAAATGTGCTGGGTTATCTTAGAGAACACTGTTCAAAAACTTGGTTTTTCACATAAGATGCTTGTATCAGATTTTCATTACTGAGATACACAAGCAGAATACAGAATATTTGATCACAGCTCAGAGAAACTGGTGGGTTTATTTCTGGTTTGGCATGAAAATGGGAACAAGCTGGAGTAAAAATGAAGTTATCATAAACTCTTTCCACAGTATTTGCTGGGCCACTCAAGTCCTAATAGATGACTATTCGGGGGGATTTATCCAAGCAGTCTGAGGGGTTCTACAGCTCCGTTCCTGCAATCTAACATGGGAGCAGACCTAAATCTATGGCCTTAACCTGAGATTGAGGCTCAAAGCTACCTCTTTCACTGGCCAAATCTGACTACCTTGAGCTGAGAAGTGTAAGTTACAGCTGATTTCATCTTCTCCTCCCTCCTCACCTAGTTTTGCTATGTTCAATAGAGATATTTAGTTCCCTTGAGCTCAGAGAAGTGAGGACGCCATGGCTTTGTAAAGGAAACCATGATGCCATAGAGAAGGAAATAGTACAAACTGCCCAGTATATGCTAGAAAAATAGTTCTTTCCATGTCTTTTAACAACAGTTGAACTACAAACCCAACAAGGTTTAGCTTTAAACCTAAGTGAGTATAAGTGGCTTTTGCCATTAGATAAAATGCATCCTCCCATCCTTTGCATTCCTGTCTTGGCTAGGGCAGAGGTGAGTGTTGGAGCAGCACGCTCTTAATCTATGCAAATTTCCTGTAAGTGTTTTGAAATGTTTGTTCCCACTTTACAAAGTATCTGTTGAACCCACAGATGTGAAGTGCTGCCAGATGGATCCCGAGAAATTCCCATCTGAAGAGTGTCTACCAAACGACCTCCTTCAAATGCTATTTTGAGGCTTTGTTTCTCTTCACAGTATTCTTGCTGGGGCCATCCATTTGGCAGCGTGTGAAAGCAGGTTTACAAAGTCATGATGCGATTTGGAAACCTCCCCCAGACAGGACTTTCTCACCAAAGGCCCAGCACACATCAGTGTTTGAATGCTCTGCTGAGCTTGTCTATTTTGTAAAGTGCGTGAGACCTCGCTCCAATGACTGCGCCTGTAAAGGAGAAAACTAAATGGAAAAGCCAAAGGAGGGTTAGCAGGACAGAGGCTGTAAACATGGTAATAGTAGGACCTTTGCACTTACAGCATCAAACATTCAGTGAAATAAAACCCAAGGTGTGCTGTTGCTGCAGACAGCTTGTGTTGCAGGTTTAAATCCATCATCATGTGGCTGCATCCCTACCATGCCCCTGGACAGACATCCACATGGCATGAGAGCACTAGAGCTTACCTGTACAACACCTTGTGTGTCAGTCTGATACCTTCCTGGCTGTGTTGTTTGGTAGCTGTTTAAACAAAGGTGTATCTGCTTGGGCTAGGGCTGGTTCCTAACATTACAGCTCAACCAGTTCTCCTGCTCTCAGTCTGGATTCGGTTAGTAGGACAACAGGAATTGCTAATCCAAAACCCCATGACGCCATGTCCCAGCTTTGTGATCAAGAGTCCTTCCCCAGCCGTGCCACCCGATAGTCCTGCACATGTTGTATTTAAATGGCGAATACTTTTTGAAGTGCACCTTTTATTTTCTGAGGTACAAAACTTTGATGTGCTTTATTTTCTGTGGCCTGTTGTGCAATGGGGCAAAAAGATGAATGTTGCAAGTGAGTCAGCGTCTCCTTTGTAGTATTTTCTGTGACAAAGGGAAGGAAGAGGGTGTAAAATCCTTTTGTGTGGCAATGGGAACCACTCTTTCAATGTAACATGCTGTTATTGATACTGTATTTACTGATCAAACTGTAATGAAATGGTTACTTCTTGATATAGCCTTTGTACTGTATGGTATCTTATTTTATTTTGTCATTTATTGATCCTAAGAAATAAACATCCAAATTTAAGGCTTGGGCTGGAAGTGCTTGAAATGGCAGCTGTGCCTTCAGCATTCAGCCTGCTTACCAGTGTGGGCTGTCTGGTTGTGGTCTAAACTGGTGAAATCCCATCAAACTTGAACTGACCTTTGCATCTCCTCTGCAGGAGGGCCCCTGAGTCCTTCTCTCCTACAGTCTGCAGGCAGGCTTCAATGCACTAGGAGCTGTAGGTACAGAGCAAAGGAGACGGCCCTTATCCCAGAGAATTTGTTGCTGGAAACCAAAGCAGGTTCGCTGTGCCCTAGCAGTAAGATTTCCCTTCCCACCTTCCTCTTTTCCATGATGTGCTTCCTCCCTGGCATCTGTTTTTGTGATAAAGGTATAATTTTGTGGGAACAGAATACTTGGGTATCACCCACTATATTAAAGCATCCTTACACTTAATGAGCAAAAATCAGTCCCCTCCATTCCCCCTGCAGCTCCCCGTTAACATCCTGTTGTGAATTACCCCAGCTGAACACCAGGAAAATCCACAAAACATACATAGTTTTTAGGCGTTCCACCCTATTGCATTGATTTCTACTAGAGGGAAGTTTGCTTGGAAGGAGCAACAAAATAAACATTAAGTATTTGGAATCATTCATGCCTGGAAAATCTTCTGAAACACAGCTAAAATCACTGTCTCTCCAAAAGCGTTTTGGTGCTGCTTCTAGATGAGAAGAGCAAGAGCTTCTATTGCCCTTACACCATCAATCATTAAAGAATCATACCACTTATTTTATGAACCACTTTATTTGGTATCCAGCCCTGCTCTGTTAAAAGGTGTACCTTTAGTCTGCTGCCTATGGTGCTGCTTTCATGCCTTCAGCAGTGAAAACCCACAACAAGTAGCAATCTCCTTGTTTTCTGGCTGCAGGAGACCTTTGTGCAGGGCACGATGCTCCCAGCGGATCCTCCATGTCTTAAGCAGAAACCCAGACCACATGGAGCGAAATATGTTGCCCTTTGCTTATGACTTCTCTAGCTCGGGGCTGACTCCTTGACAAAGCAAAACTCTCGGGAACCAGAGATCCTCATTCCTCCCATGCAACCCTCCCACTCAATGTCACGCAATAGAGCATCCCATCACACCACACTGATGTGAGACAAAACAAAATGCTGCAGACAGCCAATTCATTTCTGCCTTTTCCTGTTAGAAAGGCACAAGGACTGTGCCCCAAGCAATGAGGAATGCCTATATTTCTCATTTCAATTATAAAAGTAATTTCCATAGTCCACAAGAGGAAAATTTCAGACGCCTTTTGAAACAAATGCCACGTTTTAGTAAATGGCTTCATGAAAAGTAATAAACATCCACCCAGAAGTTAATTTATTTAAAATGTCTTTAAACCCTCCTCTGCCTTATTGGATTTGTTTGAACTGTAGATCAAGATGAAGTATATTCATGAGGGTATTTAAGCAACAAGGCATTGCATCCTGATTATTATTACAAATCTCCTGTGGGCTATGAACTATGAAGCAGAGCGTGAAGTGACTTTGGGCACTCAAGTGCAAAACCCCCTCAGAACTACACAAGCACAGGCACAGCCCCATATGCTGTGGGGCGGCCAAACCAAAGTGATGGGGTTGTTTCCCAGGAGTAAAGCCAGGGAGGGTGAACACAGAGGATCCAGACCTGCCTCTGCCAGCCCAACACTGGGCTCACACAGCCAAATGCTGGAGGAAAGGATGGTAAATATCACAGCCTAGTTTGGGTTGAAGGGACCTTAAAGCTCCTCCATCTCCAACCCCTGCCATGGGCAGGGACCCCTTCCACTGGAGCAGCTTGCTCCAAGCCCCTGTGTCCAACCTGGCCTTGAACACTGCCAGGGATGGGGCAGCCACAGCTTCTCTGGGCACCCTGTGCCAGCGCCTCAGCACCCTCACAGGGAAAAGCTTCTGCCTAAGAGCTCAGCTCAGACTAAGTCAGTTCAAGTGACCCTACCAGGGACAATAGCTACCAAAGAGAAAGAAAACACAATTGTTTTGCTCCTGAAGACTCACTGAAAGCAAAATAAGTGGGAAGAGTCAGAAAAAACTTACTAAAACATCTCAGAGATGGCCAGAATATCATCACAGGGGTGAATAGGCAGCCACACACTCACGTGTGCATGCACTCACTGTAAGTTGTTGGTCTTTCCAGTGACGAGCCTGTCCTCTTGCCTGACTTGGCTACTTTGCATCACCAGTGACATGATCTTTCATTACACTTGGCTGCTTCTCTATGAAATCCTGAAGAAACGGGAAGCAAAATCCTTCACCCTTTTAACACAAAAATGTAAAACCATCTTGTAAAGCAGGAGCAGCCCACTCTGTGCTTTCACACTGCTGCTGTTCCACTGTGCACTGCTGAGTTGTCAGGCTTTGTTGTGAACTCAAGTTACATAAGGAAAGATTACGAACCCATAGACTGGAAGATCTGCTTCAAGATCTGCAAAGGTACAGAGAGAATAAAGAACTCTTCTCCTGCAGGTAACAGGTATCTTGGGTGGATCATTTCATCTTAATGAAATGCAGCATGAAGATGAAAGGACAGACGCACCATGTTTTGCCATCACATTAGTTTCAGTTGCCATTAAGAGCTGAACTAGTTAGACTGAGATTTCTTTGTTCCTTTCTTCTGCTTCTCCATTCTCCTGACATTGGAAGCTGCTCTATAGGTACGTTCAAGACTCCTGCAGTACAGCTTTCAGCCTCAGGCACTACTATAACACACTGTAATTATTCAGCTCTGATTGATCTGTATCTCATCGCTGGTCCAGAACTATGCAATCTCCAATGAAAACACTCACATAGCATTTTCATCACTGCTGAGCAGGTATCAGCACAGGTCACACAGGCCTGTGGGTCATCTCCCTGCCAAAACCAAACATGCAAGGGAAGATTCCCAGCACCAGAGCTACAAGGGGTGTTTGTAAACCCCTGGTTTTCCCAGAAATGCACTAAGGGAAAGCTGCTTTCCCATCCAAGCTGGCGCAAATGGAGTAGTTACTCTGAATAACTGGAGTGTGGGTTGCACAATGCCATACTCACTCCTCTGAAATCACATTTACTGTAGAATAGCCCCCCCCAGGCTCAGATGGAGAGCAAACACTGATCCACTTCTGCATCCTGCATGCTGTACAGTCACTGGGGGACTCGCCAGCACCTCAGCATCTCATGAACATCATTGAGATGTAATAGCCATCGTTATTAAGATTTAACAGTGTTAGCCCACTGCTAACAACCCAGCAAGCTCCGTACCTTCATTGCTGCAAGGCTGCTTTTGTTTTATGGTACAGATTTCAGGCACAGAGAGCTTAAGGCATTGACTGTAATGAAATCTTCTTGTAGACCAGAGCGTCAAACCCCAGTGTTTCCGGCACAGTCAACTCTGACTCATTTTTCCCTTCATTCACCATAAACAGGTAGTCTATGAGCTATTTTAAACCTCCATTCCAAGACATAAATTAGCAAAACATGCTAACGTTCAACCATTTAAAGGCAACTTCTTGCTGGTTGTCAGCAACAGCAACCACCTTGGCATAACACTTGGCAG